CCGCCACTGCTACTGCTACTGCTATTGCTACTGCTACTACTGCTACTACTACCACTACTTCTACTACTAACAAACTATTGTTTCCACCACGGGTAGTACAGTATTAATGGGAGTTGGAGTTGCTACGACTCCCATTCCTCCTGCTGCTGCTGCTGCTGCTGGCTAATAGAAAAGCGAAGACAGCAACTGCTACACTTCTTCCACTAATGGTTCTTTTGGCGATAAAGCAACAATAGAGACCTTCTGCTACTGTGACGACGACTGCGACTACGACTCTTCCAACTTTTGTATTCATCAGTGTTGTTCCTAACTGGCGCAGTTCTATTTGGTTTGCTGTGTTCTTGTCGTTTGGAGCACTGAAGTTTTTGCTATTGAAATCATCGTTTTCACAGGCTTTTCACCAGCAACACGACATTATGACTCTCCTACAGTTTGAGCCTCTGGCAAAGTTTCGTTTAGTCCTATACCCCCGCCAAAGTCATGCAGCTTGACATCTTCGCAGCTGAGGCGGTGATGTACCAAGCGCCCGATACAATGCTGGGCAGCTACGTGCCGGGGATGCCAGTGCCAGGCTTTCCGGCAGAATGGTGAGCCCAGGACGACGTGTCCGCGGAAACAGCCTGCGAGACAATGTCAATGTCAAACGAACGGCATGTTCCACCCAGCTCGCCCAGGCATGACAGGCTCCGATTGGGGCGGAGCCAGCTACGGTGGCTACACCAGCTATGCGCCGCCAATTGCTGGCGTTGCCCCCGGTACTATCTTAATGTCAACTGGCGAATAGGTTGATTTGCCTTCGCGTCACTGCTTCAACCAGTGCAAGTGCGCAACAGACATCATGGAATCCACGCGCCTCAACCACTCCCTGCGAAACTCTTCAGCCGCAGCACGCCGAAATGCTACAGACAGGCGCAGCTCAGTCCTAGCACAGGCCGGCAATAACGAAGTACAGGTCAATGGGTCCCCAAGTTGTGTTCTTCGTTAGCCTCCGGAAGTCCAACAACTGCAAAACCATGCAAAGGTGACGAGCGAGAGCCTCGTTGGTGCTGAGACCGGCAGTGCCCTCTATTGCCGGATCGGAATTCAAAGTTTCACTGCAGAGGTCATGTGGTCCCTGCATGGCCAGCAAAGAATCAGATTCTATTACGTCACGTCGTGCCTGATCAAGCTTCTAAGTGCTGCCAGTGCACAGCAGTCAGGTGCAGCTCGTGCACCAGGACATGCACGAAAGAATCGTAGCTCGTTCTCCGGTGCCGAATGGTCTGTTCCAGTCCGACAGCATAAAGAAGACTGTTCAACGACGTTTCATCTCTTTGTTGCATAAAAGATCCAAGACGGCTGGGGCTGGTCCACTGTCGTGCCGTTATCTCGCGCCGCATGCCCCAAGGGCATGGCATCTCAGTGACGGAGATGGCAGCAAGCATGATTTACGCCATCGCTACTACAGGCCTTGCATTCAAGCACCCCTACTACAGCTCAGATCTTCGCCTCTACATGAACCAAGGCATGAGACAGTGGTGTCTGTCTGTCAAGCCGCACCGTGTCTCATGGGGCCATCGCTTCAAAGTTTCACTCCAAATGTCTCAAACTCGAGTGGTCCGCAGTAGAGTATGACTTCAGTTGCGGGTCTAGGAAGTACATGGATGTTTTCGCAAACGGGTATTGTGTGAGTCGATTTGCCGAGTGCACACGACACAGGGCAGTGTGAAGATACTCCATCGAAGCAGCTGCCCTGCAGAAAGGGCGCTGATGGGGTCTGTGAGGCTGATGCCAGAAGAGTAGGCTTTGTTGAATCCCAATATAGTAGTCATGTCATATACGGCCGGCTGCTAGCACCAGGAAAGTATATTATGTAGCGGCGCAGAGCTTGACACTCCAGTCGTTCGGCGTGCAGCCAGCTTGATCAGCAGGAGTGGCAGGATCAATAGCGGTACTGAGCTCAGGTGCCGCATACTGCTTATATTACTCGCACTCCCGACGAATCACAATGCTTCGACGGGGCTGAACGGTTGAAGTAAGCTTTGCCGAGACAACACATTGACCTGCCAGCATGAAACTGAGGCCATGACTGTGGCCTGGCCGGTTTGGATTGTTTCTTCCATGGCCAACTTGGACAATGCATGGCCGAGCCCCTTCAATTGTGCATCCTTTTTGACATGCTAGCATTGTGGTGGTCGTCATGGGTTCTGCATCCTCTTGGTTGACATTCTGGATCAGTCTGAATTGCATCACAAGAGGAGCATCCCTGCCCATCCCTGCCTGAGGCTCGTGGGCGTTGAGCGAGCCAGAATCGGTGGCAAGTGCCTGGCACAGGTCTTGGCTGACAGGCCAGACGTATCTGTGAAGCGGGTTCGTGTGGCTGCTGTGTGGCTGGTCCAGCCTTGGCAGATAGCGAAGGGCTCTGCACTCCAAACCTGCACCAAACCCTGAAGCAATGTTTGGGGCACCTCGTCTGCACGTCTTCAAAGAAGGGTACAGTTTAGGGCAGGTCCGAGAGACCTCACCAATTACAGGTTTTTGCACAGTCGGACTGCCAAATCTGCTGTAAAATATTTTCAAACGGGTAGAAGCCGCTCTTGGAGACTTCGGCCTCGCGATGTGCAACCAGAAGACCAGACACAGGCCTTAGGAGCAGGGTGCTGTCAGCAAGCGGCACGAGCCATGCAAGAAACGCACCACGTGCCGGCTGCGTGCTCGACGCCACACACTCGCCTGATCGTGCTGCTGCCATACCTTTCTGCCGCATCCTCGGAGGCAAACCGTCGGACAGCGCCCAGTGACGCTGATCGGTCACTCAATGGGTGCACGGCTGCTGGTGTACTGCTTGCCGTTGCCCTAGATAGCTGATGTTTTCCGACAAGTGACAAAGGCTCGCTGTCAATGGCCCTGTCCAAGGTGCGAACTGTACCACATGGGTGAGTTCCATGCGGTGGATGATGTGGTTCTGCTCGGTGCTCCTGTGACCACAGAAGCGCGCAAATGGCAAAAGGTCCAGCACCGAGGATGACATGACACTGCGCAGGCGCAAGAGCGAGTTGTGTCATAAATGCACAGATACGAACATATGCAGGCAGGTAGGTGTGAAGGTGCGTAGGTACGTATGTTTATCTGCCTGTCTGTCTGTCCGTCTGTCCTGCCTGTGTGCCTGTCTGCATTGCTGCCTGCCTGTCTGCAGGTCTGCCTGCCTGCCTGTCTGCCTGTGCCTGTCTGACTGACTGACGGACTGACTGACTGTGTCTATCTGTGTCTATATGTCCGTGAGTGTATGTATGCACGTAGGCAAGTATACCACTCTACAGGCATCCATGTATAAGGCTGTAGGGCTATCGCATGGCCTCATGAGTCTCGAAGGCCACTGCAAAGATTGAAACTGCAACTGTAACTAAGTGCTGTATCATGGTGAAGGCTTGGCTCAAGCCCGGCACCTTAAACTTATGGACAGGTATCACTGCCGGGGAGGTCTGGGTGCAAATTCCCCAGTTGAACGGACATAGTTTCAGCGTGGGAGTTTCCACGAATGGAAGCACGAACACCCTGGAAGAGCCACCGAAGCATCGTCACACCAACCAGGCAGGAAGGACGGCGCTGCGTGTGAGTAGAAATATTCGGGGCCTCCGAAAGGTACGTTTGTCTGTTTTGGCGAGACAGAGTCTGCATCCCATCATGGAGCTGATTGTTCCTAAAGTGAATTCTACAGAGACGAGAGGTGTACAGCCAGCCGATGCCCTGCACCTGATCCCACAGAGAGATGCCAAAGCTTATTGGTGCCAGCTCAGAGACTCACAGCTGCAGAGCGGCAATCAAAGCTTGCAGCAAGGCTAGTGACTGGCAGCGGTCGCTGTGCCTCCTGGATCAGTACAGACGAGCATTAGGCAAGGCAGATGGCGCAATCTACGGCTCTACCATCCATGCTGCAGCAAGCTCTGCTGCTTGGCCGTCTCTGCTATCAGTCCTGCTAGACATGATCGCCGATCAGCTGGTCCCGCAGGTGATCAGCTGCAATAGCATGGTGACGGCATTTACCAGGAGCAGTGCCTGGCCGCATGCGCTCGATACCTGCCGGGCCATGTCGAAACTTGTGGTTCAGCCCAACTTGATCACATTTAACTCCTGTTTGTATGCGGGTGATGCACCTGCGTGGGCTCTCCAGCTTTCCCTTCTACGCAATGTGCATGAGTTTCACATGAGACCGGACATCACAAGCTACAGCACTTGCGTAGGCTGCTGCGGCAAATCGGGGGAATGGTCCAGGGCATTGATGCTGTTGGCTGGGATGGATGGAAGCAAGGTTCGTCTCAATTTGATTTGCGCGAGCAGCTGCATCAGCGCCTTTGCAGGAAGCAATCAGTGGCAGTCGGCACTTGCAATGCTACTGCAGATGGACTATGTTCAGCTGGTTCCGAACGTAGTCAGCTACAGCAGTTGCATGAGTTCGCTAGAGACTGTCGGGGCGTGGGAGGTAGCAATCCGTTTGCTGGACATGATGTCCCAGGCTGAAGTGCTGGCCAATGTCATAACCTTTAGCAGTTGCATCAGTGCCTGTGACAGAGCGGGCAAGTGGCAGCACAGTCTGCATCTGCTGCACGGTCTGCAGGAGCTTAGGATCCAGCCCAATGCCCAAACATACAATGCTGCAATTTGTGCTTGTGCCAGTGTTGCGTTACTATCCCGTTGCATGCAGATGCTGGGCGACATGAGCGGGGTCAATCTGTCCCCGGATGCGATAAGCTACGGCAACTGCATCAGTGCATGTGAAGCTAGTGGCGTCTGGCACGCAGCCTTGCAACTTGTGGCAGAGATGCAGGTGCTGTTGATTCTGCCGAACGTGGTCACCCATAGCTCCTGCATAAGTGTCTGTGAGAAGGCCGGGGAGTGGGGCAAGGCCCTCAGCCTTTTCCTAGAGACGAACAAGGTCAGGGTTTCAGCAAATTGCATCTCGTGCAACACGGCCATCAGTGCTTGCGAGAAGGGGGGGCTCCTCAGGGATGCCTTCGATGTTTTGAGGAGCATGAAAAGCCAGAGGCTACAGCCGGATGTGATCAGCTTCAACACCGTAATTAGCACATGTGAGACGAGAGGCCGCTGGAAGCTGGCCCTGGATGCTTTGGCCAGCATGCTGCATGCTGACATGCAGCCCACCAACATCACTCTGAACACGCTTATCAGCACTGCCGAGAAGGGTGGCCAGTGGCTGGTCGCTCTGCATTTGCTCGGAACCGCGGGCAGCTTCCGGTTGGTGCCAAACCTCATCAGCTGGAGCATTTCTTTGCATGCTTGTGAGACGGGTAACTGCTGGCAGGCTGCCCTGCAAATGCTCAGTGGACTGAAGAGAACGGAACTGGCTCCAAGCACTACCTGCTTGGAATCGTGTGTCCGATCTTGTGAAAGCGGTGGTCTTGGCCATTCATGCTCGAAGCTGCTGGCTGACATACAGAAGATGCAGTTGATGCAACTGCGGGAGCAAGGAACTGCCAAAAACGGTCGACAACTCTCCGTGCAACTGAAGGCATGTTGCCCGCGGGAAGAAATGACTATGCGCACCTGACCATGCGCCGGTGACTATAAGGTGCGCGCGGTGGCCTCTGGCCGAGTTGTGAACGGCTACCTCGGGAAGGATTGGGCCAGGACCTCGTCCACCTCCAAGGAGTTCTGAAGGTTTCAGCTTGTTCAGACACTGCCACAGGTGCTTGCCTTCCTCTACAGATACCTGGAGTCCGACCCTGAGGTGATGTCTCATAGGCAAACTCCCTGCAACTTCAGTCGCTTGCTAGTTTGCGCCAGAGGAGGTGCGCAGCTTGTTTGGCCATGTGTCTCCTTGTGCAACGGGATGCATGGGCCAGCACCGACATGAGGTGGGGGCTTTCCGTGGCGGGACTTTCGCAAGTGCAGGCGAGTGCCTCATTGGGGGCCGCGGCAGGAGGGTGAGCGAGATCATGTGTTCAGGATCAGGACTGGCGACAACAACCTGTGGCTGCATGCTTGCCTATGTTGAGTTGAACATCTTGCAGAGAGTCAGCGAGGGAGACTCAAAATTTGGCGGACGTACGTGACAGAGAGACCGGCGTGGCCGAGAGGTGAGCATGTGTTCGTGTGTTTGTGTTGCGTGCTAATGATTGCCAACGTGTGGGGCTGCGAGTGCAAACCTCATTTGGGGAGAGAGAGCGAAGTTTGGTTTTCAGTTGTGCGGTGCTGTGCCATGTGCAAATAGGGAGTTTCAGATCTGCCCGCCGGTCGGGGGTAAAACCTTTGATGAACCCTAGCGAACAACAGTCACACACTGAGGGAGTGCAACGTACTAGGGTGCAATTGTCGTGATAGTAAGACGCCTCCCTTGGTGCGCTTTGATCGGGGAAAGGGCAGAAGCTGACTCGTACAGCCGAACCCTCTGGAGGGGATGCGCCAGACACCCGGTGGACGGCGGGTGCGCGCACGCGAGAGCGAGAGAGAGAGAGAGAGAGAGAGAGAGACAGCGAGCGAGCGAGCAGGAACAGTGTTCGTGGGAAGGCAGGGTTTCACACGAAGGAGCCTTGAAGGAGGAGGACCAGACCCCGGCCCGCTTAGGTGGGAGGCGGGGCAGCTCCCCGTCTCTCAAGCATGCACAGGGAGAAAGGCAGCGACAGCACAGTGAAGTCTTTAAGACTCCAGTCAACATCCTAGGTGGGGGTTTGGTTCCGGCGTGCATGGAAGCAGGGGCTCTTGAACTGTAACTGGGTTACGCTTACAGAAAGAAAGCATGCAGAGCGAGCCAAGGGCACAAGCGGCAGGAACGGAGAGGAAGAAGCACATTAGACACAGAGCGAGAGCAGGTGCCCGGGGTGGAGAAGCTCGACTGCACAGTCCACGAAGCTGTCACAGTTTTCACTTGCCCATGCTGCAAGATGCAACATGCCGTTATCTTTCGAGACGTGGGTCTGACCGGTTGCGCTGAGGAATGTCAACCTTGATGGGCTGGGCATTCAAGGCCACCATGACTACCCGAACCACATAGACATCAGCTCAGCGCAGACCGACCGAGCGACGTCCGGTGCCTGCGTGATGCAATGCCTGCTAAGGCAGATATTCTGGCGAAGCTCCGTGTAGGTGAGCGTCACCCGGAGGTGCTCTCCCAGGCGCTCATTTTCATGCTGCGATGTCAGAGCTGGCATATGGACAGGGCATGGATTTGCAAAATGTTCTGAAGCCATGATGCTTTACCGAAGGCAAGGCCAGCTGGTGCAGCAGGCGCTGGTTTTCTTTGAGGCAGCACTCCACAGCTGGACAGCTCTAGAAGCTGTCGCACAAGCGTGTTTCACTCCACCTGGCCACAAGTGACCCAAGAGTGGGCATCGATCGATTAAAGTGTTGCAGACAAGAAAACCCAGCTTGTTCTACTTGTCGGAGACCCTCGTCGTGGTGCCTTCCGCGCAGCGAACATGGCAACGCGGTATAGTCGCACACATTGGGTCCATGTCTACGATGCATTCCAACGCCGTCCAGTGCTGTACCAACAGTTTAGCAAGCTCCTCCTAGCAAATACGCCCCGCGATGCTCGTTACCGCATGTCCACGGAGCCTGTCCTGCATGTAGCCTGAATTCGCGAAGCAGTTGAGGGGGGAACGGACCAGTTCAGTGACAAATTATTCGGTTGCACAGGTATGGAGGCAGGTGGGGGGTGTTAGTTCAGGATCCTGTCTTGGTTCCCGACTGTGCTGTTCCATTTTCTGCCTGGGGGTCGACCGAACTGTGAGCTCCAGCGCGCGCTGGCCTGCGAGGGCCGGGAGTGTCCTCTGCCATTCAATTTGTTTGTGAAGACTGTGGTGAAGAAGAGAGTGAGAAGAGAGTCGAGATGGAAGAGGATACGGCACATGGGCGGAAAGCTGGCGAAGAGGGCGACCAACATGGAGAAAGCCATTGCAGAAGGAAGGCGTGCAACACGGGAACGGCACCTCCGTCAACCCTAGCTGTTGCTGAAGTGGAGCGTCGCAGTCCAGAGGCAGTTTCAGGTCAATCCCGAAGGCCCAGGGCAGTCCCGTAAAGGGTGTCAGGTTTGCTGCAGTTGAGGGGAAGGGGCGGAGTACTGAGTACTGTGAATATTCAGCATGCTGCTTTCGTGACTCCACTCTTTCACTCTCGTCATGTGTCCCATGAACCAACCACACAAGTGGCTTTGCGAAGACGCACAGTTGGGGAGGGCCACGGTTCTTCCTCCCTGAGAGAGAGAGAACCTGACGACTACCGCTGCCACGGAGAAGCCCGCATGAGAAGGGGGGGGGGCAGCTCTTGTGGGTTCTCGTGACCACTTGGTTGCAACAAGTCTGCGCGGGCAGAGTAGGGGTCGCACATCCGGCCTCTAACCAGGCGCAAGAAGAAGCGCTCAGCATCGCACCTCACTGAACAGGGCACGTGCGCTGGCCGAAAGAAAGACAGAGCTCGCATACGAGCGCAGGTGAGCTCCTCAAATGGCGGGAATGTACACCGTACACCGTAAGACTCCGTAAGAGCAACCAATGAGGGAGGGAGCAAGTGCAGTGAATATGTGCTGTCTGTTCGTTGATTACGCCCGAGGTGTGCGTGGGGTGGAGAGCTTGTGTCCGTTGGCCGCAGCTTTACGCTGACATGACAAGTGACGAGTCTGTAGCGAAGCAAGGCAGCCCGCACCGCACTCACGTATGGGTTCTGACTTCATGATTCGGTGACAACGCCCTTACCCTACAGCAGAGTCAGCAGCACCACAGTAGCTGATGCAACCTGACACGTCTCTGTTATCCTGCAGGTACAAGATCACAAAAGATACAACTATACTACTACTATATAGTCATCAGATCGTTTGAAGCGAGACCCGCAGCTGACGATGGGCGATGACTGGCCCGCTCGTTATGCAGATTTCGAGGCCTGTCAGCGCAACGTGCCACCAGCATTTTGGCAGGGGGATGAGGTTGGAGCAAGCTGCCAAGCTGCTAATCCCGGCAGTCTGCCGCAGAGGTCCCGACAACATTCACCAGCGCGGCTTGCCTCAACAAGGTGTGGGCTAGCACAGCCAAGCGAGCCTTATGACCCTTCCTTTCAGTTGCAGCGACGCTCTACCAATCTCTACCAATTCCGACTCTGAGAGTCTCAAGGTTTCTTTGTACGATGCTGGCAGACCTTGCCTGAGCTTTCAATATCCTGGCAGGCGTTGATCCAGGTCAACTTCGAGGATGCCGGGAGCCCAGTTTCAGCAACAAGCGTGCGCACTGCCATGATTTTTGGAGATGGGCTGACTTGGGTGCCGTTCGTTCGCGATCAACGCAAGACAACACCTGCTACAGAGGTGTCAGTGGAGGCAGACCAGTACGATCTTGTCAGCTCGTATGCGAGAGCCTCAGCAAAGACGCTCGCAAGGTTGAAGGCGGCAGCTCTCGGCAGGGCCCCGGGCACAACCTGCAGCTTATTGGCTCAGAATTTGCGGCTTTCCCCATTCCCCACGGGATGGGTTCGGCGCACAGCTTGCATGAAGCTCGATGCTTACCGCAGAAGTTCTTGACTGCAATGCTGTCACTGTAGTAGTCACGTTTCCGTGAGCCAGTGCATCATTACGAAGAACCTGTCATGCGCAAGAGGCCCAGGCACAGCGCGCAAGATCGCGCAAGTGTCTGTCATGATTCGCTTGCATATATTGTTTAGGTCATCTGACCTAGCAGAGCGAGATAGAACGAGCAATCGTAGCTTGCTTTTCGTTTGCCGAGGAGTCCCAAGCCGTGGACGGAGGCCTTGCAGAAGCTTGCAGAGATGGGGTTTATGCAGGCCCACCGGTTCGATCTTTAAGACGTTTTCGACTTGGCATACTTGCGGCTCAGGTTATAACAAACATCGTCACTGATGTGTCCGCGGTGACTGCATGCGCGCTGTCGCGGGCGTGGCGCTCTTCTCTGAGCAAGCTGGCCTGCACAGCGCAGGAATTCTTGCGTAGGCGTAGGCGAGGTTGACCAGGAATGCCCCACGTCGGCATCTGCCAAATAGGAAGCCCGGCGATCTGGGAAGAACTTCCTTCAAGAATGGATCGAACATCCCGCAGCAGCAACTTCTGTGCTGAGCAGCATTGCGAAGGCGCAAGGGGGACTCATTCCGCGTACTCTACTTCCTGTGTTGGCACTCTGTCGATTGTAAAGGCTCGCAGTGCCCGGGTGTGCACAGAGCTTTTGCGGGCCCCTTTGTCACGGTTAAGTTCGTGCATCTGCTTCTCGCGTTTCCAGAGGCGGATCATCCGCTTTTGCAGATATCCCTTTCGAATCTCAGGTCATGAGGGAGGTGGTCCTAGAGACGAATGATTTCCACTATGGTGCAACTGCCAACGCTCTTCAGTTACCTGGCCGCCGAATTATTGTCGGACACTTTCACAGCAGTCACTCAGTCAGGGCCATCTGGGAAAGCAAGGTTGCAAGGCCGCTGGCAGTTGGCTTTGGATCTCATCCGCAGCATGGCCAGTCGGGATGACTCTTGCTTGCAGGAATCCACTGCACATTCCGCATTCCACTGCCAGGGCAAGTTGGCGGATCCTTGACACCGAGGTGAGAGCTAGCATCATCACGGTGACTTGTGCCTTTGGGCCGTGGGAAGCTTCTTCACGCCTTCTGTCCATGGCGCGGCAGGCGGTTGAGAAAGTGGAGTCGTAGGGCGCGTACCGTATGTTGTATGCTATTGTGTCACATGCGGGATGGGGCGGAAGCATAGAGTCTAGTAAAAGGCAGAAGCACGATCTGCACAGGATGGCCCGAAGCCCAACGTTGTGAGCTTCACTGCCTGCATAGGCTCCTTGGAACCTGATGCTCAGACTGCATGTGCTCGGCCGTCGTACCAGAGGAAAGGCAAGTGTCCTGCTATGTTTCCGGAAATTTCTCTGGCCAAGGAGAGCGATGCGACCTGGGATCGTGGCCTGTCCCTGATGATCTTGATGCGACGGCAGCGAGTCAGGCTGGGTCAGTTGTGAACCTGCAGCTTGTCACAATTTTGTCACACCACGTTCGCCCCGAAATAGCTCAGCAGCGACGTGCAGTGTAGTGAGTGCGCTCCTACGACTCAGTGTTGGCTTTGAAGGCCGAACTGTGTCACAGTCAGCGCTGCCCTTGGATCAATTGGTGGCCGCTGGCGGCTGGCGCTGAGCATCCTCAGTTCAGTTTCGCAGGCGTCGCCTGGAAGGTCTCCCCACCCGCCTGCAAAATCTTCTTTTTCGAAAATTCAATTGCTTCTGCCCTGAAAGCTGCAGAAACCAATGTTTCAGTGCATTGAACTGTACGCATCCGGTGTAGCTCAGCACTCGGCGCACACACCGCCATCGGCGAGCATAAGCGCAACAACGTTGGGGGAGAGGGTGCTCGGAGAGTCGCGAGCTGCGGTGCACGTAAGTGAGGTGGTGTGCGGTTGCAGCAGACTCTGCATCTTTGACTGCCGGAATGGTTTCGGGGAATCTTTACCTTTCCACTGCGTGTTGCCCATTTTCTTGGCGACATACCGCTCCACCAGCGGTCACATGGAAATCCGAAAGCTGCGGAAACTGCTTCTTCCCGGCATTGGCAACTGATGCCAGTAGGTTTCACGACATGCCGCAAACCTTACAGATGTTCGAAGAGGCTGGCCTGCGTCGTGATACGGTTGCCTTGAATGCTGCGATGGGCACAACCGCCGTGGTTCTGCGACGACGGCTAGCCGAGGAGCTGTGCGACTAGACATATTTTCATATCTGAGCGCGGTGTACTGGCTAATCTAGCATCAGCCACTGCCGAAGCAAAGGTGGTAGTGAAGAGATTGTCAGCTCTGGCCAATGGCTGGCCGCCAATGTGCTGCTTTGGGATTTGAGCTCTTCCGCAACGCGGCAGAGTCGATGATCCTCAGCCCTTGTGCAATCCCAGAGAACTGACGTGCTCAACAGTTGTGCTCACTTGTCGGGAGACCTAACAACGGTATGACTGAGATGACGATATCTTAAATCCTGACGTCAGGTGACACACCTTGTGGGGTAGATGAAGCTGCATGGTTCGGAGCAGCGGGAGATATGACCAAAAAACGTGAACGCCGAACCCGCCGGACAAGCATGACCATCATGAATCATGACGACCCAGCCAAGGCCCTCTGTGCCGATGTAGTGAGCGCCTTGGTAGCAAGTCTCGCAGTCGCTTCAGAATTTGCCAGAGGAAGGATATGACAATGATGACTACAACTGGTTGGTACTCGTAGTACAGTCACGGTCCAGTCTTCGGAAGGCCCCGCCGGAACCTGTGTCATTTGGCCCATTAGAGCATTTCATGCTTTGTTCCAGGCTTCAGCTCTGTCGTGGCAGCTTGCGAGCTGAAGTGGAGGATGGCTGTGGCCATCTGCGAGCCGATGTGCCTGCGAAAAGCCCAGCCGAATCTGATCACGCATCGCTGCAACGTGGTTGCAATAATCCTCTCAACCTGGGTTCCCCCTATTTTCTGCCTGCTGTGGACCCATGTTCAATAGTCCGTGGTGATGTGCCGAATGCGGGTCGAGATCGCGGTCTCGTGTGCTATCCAGGCCTTCTGCGGGCACTTGAGAATGGTGGACGTTGGCAGTCGGCACGTGACCTTTTGTCTTCAATGACAGCTCAGAGGATATCTGACAAAATCAGCCCGCAGCTGAGCTCGTATCTGAGAGTAGCCGACAGCACATCCAGCTCTCTTTTGCCATGGTTGGGGTTCTCGAGGTCAGCAGCACACTGCAGCTGCTTGTGCAAAGTCCGGTCCACTTGGAAGCGTGTTGCAGCAGATATGCGGCACTAGTTTCTCGGGGCAGATTAGAACAGGATTTGGCCTGCTCGTTCATGCGCCTTGCTGTGTTCACAGAAAGCGCTTTGCGTCCTGCTCAAGGTCTGGCAGAAGACATACTCACACACCTCCTGATGATCCGTGTAGCTGAGCTACTGAGCCAGATGGAGTGCAACACATGTCTGTCAATGGTTCCCAATCAAGTAGGAACCGTGAATGTGCGACTGGGAAGCGTTCCTCGTACTGGCATGCGGTTCAGTGGTTCATTCCAGCCCCTCGAATCCAGCTAAGGGCTCAGCGAGAGGTACGTTGGCTGCCGCAGCTGATGGGCATTCTGAGGAACCTGACCTTGCCTGCCGGAAAATGGTCAATAAAGTCACGGAAGGTGATGATGGAAGTGCAGTTGACGGCATGATAGACCCTGCCAAGGTGTTCCAGAGACACACGGACCGATGGCTTTACAGCCGGGCACCGAGCAAGACCAAGCGGCGGTGAGCGGCATGGGCTGCACAGAGTTGCACATTGAGCTAGAGTCGAACTAGCCGGAGACTTGACTCAAGCGAGGTCACGAGACGATCGGCGATAAGTGCTGGCCAGGGCCTGTATGCCTTGGATCTGCCAAGTTCGCGTCAGTGAGCACATATCAGCGCGTTCCAGCTTTAGTCTTGCATTCAGAGCGAGCCTCGTCACGTTTGAGCGGGGCGCAGTGCCGTGGGAAGGAGTGGCCAGAAGAATTCCTCATCTGCCAGCTCCAACCTCGCCGCAGCTCAGCTGACATGGGCACGCTGCTTGCATGGAAGCCGAGTTCAGATAGGCTGTTGATGGACCGTTCCGTCATGTTAGATGGACCAGAAGAGAATGTAATCGCCCGGTTGCTATAGGCAGTCCGAGCGCAAGCTGGATAGCAATACTCCGTCCACCCCATAGTCCATTGGCCGCACAATCAGGTCTCTGAGTGCAAAGACTGCCACGGCTGTTTGGAGCAGAAGCTGGCCTGCAATGCTCGCACGTTTGTGACCGTTTCGTGTCCGGCCTGCCGAACCACAGCGTTGGCATTGACGCGACTAGCACACCAGTCGAGGAATGCATCGCTCAGTACTGACCACTCCTCAGCCTGGGGATTTGCTGCTTTCAACTGGCTGCCACTTACCTTGCTCTTTGAATTGCCATCTGCAGAAAGCTCTCCAGGTATGGCAGACCGGCCCTCAGACATGTCTCTCGTGCCACAGCGGTGGCTTCACTAGTTCCGATGGAAGCAGCCATGCCAAGCACGCCACGTGCTTCATACTTCCTTTGTTGGCGTGAGGTCATGGGCTGGGAGGAGCGATCCCTTTGCCGCTGCTTGGCTCATGCCCAACCGATAGCGCAAGAACTCACTAGCAAAGTGTTCCTGCTACTGCTGGGCTTTTCAGTTCAACGATTCAACGACCAAACACGGAATGACTGCTGAACTGCAAGGCACCGCTGTTCGGGTACTGCCGCATGGCTGGAAGCCGTGGGGTGCTTACGGTTCGTCCGGCACGGCCATCGTGCTTTCGAACCTTCACAGGTTCACCGCCATGTCTGACTTCCAATCACGCCATGTCTCTTGTTGCGCCGGGAAGCCGAAGTGACGGCCAAGGGCCACAAGGAACTCGCCAGGGTGAGCGACACGCCTTAACCTTGGAGTCACGCGGGCGACTTCCTGTTTGCGGCACTGAGTGGTTATCTTTGACGATGCAACCTTTGAAATCTATGCAAACCTTGGAATGCAGGATGGCACAGGGTTTGCTTGTAGGCCCTGTGGCAGTCGTCGGAGCATGTCGGAGCCAATCCGACTCTTGTGATGATACTAAATTTAGTTCTCCAGATCAGGTGCAGTTGCATTGCGCAGGTACAGCTAGGGCAGCTAGGTAATGTGTACGTGGTACAGTCCTATAGGCTTGCCGCCCGCCAGAAGCGATGTAATCTTTCGGAATGTTCTAGAGACGGGATCCGGGATCTTTTCTGCCACTTGTGACTTGAGACTTGATGCTGCAGCGTCGGTTGCAAGAGTGTTGCAAGAAGAAAGGCAGCATGTTCAATCGGTTCATTCCTGCCAGAGCCCAGGACCATGATTCCCAGCTTCATGCAGTATACAGTATACGGCATACTTTATATTACAAGTTTACTGAAGAAGTTTGCCTACTACCATACTGTGGCCATGGCCTCCGCCGTGTCACTGTTCTGGCGTGTGGGCCTGTGCCTGGCTTGAACACTGGCAGAGTCCAGATCCTGCTCAGAGGACGTCAGCATGCGCACGTCAACTCATGTAGATGTATGCACTAGTCACTGGCCGGTCTTTCGTCGTAATTGCAGCTTACATGCCTTTTTCTATCCTCCGCTTGTCTGGCTCTCTCTCTCTCCCCCTCTCTCTCTCTCTCTCTCTTGCTTGTCCTTCCTCTGTCTTGGTCTCTGGTTGTCTGCCTGCCGCATGGCAACGAATGGTAAACCAACCAGGGCGAAGCCTGTGTGCATGCACAGTATTCCAGAGTAGATCCCCAACCTGACCAGGATCACGACGACGACACCACCACGACCAGACGACCTCGACAACCAGGAGACCACAAAAAACCACCAGACCTAACCAGGAGACCCCAGCAGACCACCAGGACACGAGCAAGCTGCTTTCCCCAAATACTGGCAGTATTCAGGAGGATTCGGGAGCTCTGCCGGAATGCTTTCCCCTGCCCACCTACACCCACCCGCCCACACCCACACCCACACCGACCCACACCCACACCCACACCCACCCGCCCACACCCAC